TCATTCATGCAGCAGATTTATACATGTGTCGTGCGTGTATGTATGGGTCGAGCGACAAACGCAGTTGGCCCGAAAGACGCAAACCATAAAAAAGTGGTCTGGCATATCCTGCTGTTGCTGTTGTTGTTGCTGTAGCTGTTGTATATATCCAGAATATCCTGCTTCCTTTGACCGTAGAAAATGAGCCATGTGAACTGTTGCGGCTGCTTCTGCCAACAATGGTAATAGTCCACAACTCTTCAACCACCTCCCCCCACTCCCCTGCGCCCTTTTTCACTCTCTTTTTCTATTGTTGTCGCTTTTGTGTTGACTGCTTTTGGAGTTCTGTGTGTGGTGCACAGTTTGTGGCATGTGTCAGCAACTGGCAACGGGCAACGAGCCACAAGCAACTGGCGACGGGTTATCAACTTTTGGTTTTCGTCTTTATTTTCATTTGCATACATTTTTAAAATGGCTCCTTACTTAGTCTCTCTCGCTCTCACTAATATTTGGTCGTGTCGTCTGCTTAGAACTTCAATTGTTCTTCTATACATTTGCTGCTCTACTGCTCAGTCCGTTCCACTCCAGGTGGTATGGCTCGCTCTCTTTCTATTTATCATCCTATAACTATCTGTTCTCTCTCTTATCACTAATATTTTCTATAGCTGTCACTCGCAGCTGTCATCGCTCCCAGAACTTCGCCCACATCTTTGTGCTCTTCAGCCTTTTGTCAACTAGCAGAAGGCAATTATATAGACTGCACATAAGAACTGCTATAGACCCACATTGTGGGTACACATTTCTGGTCGCAAAAAGCAATTAAACTATGCGCATATCTATGTGTGGGGGCGAGGCTTACTCTTTATTTCCCCCTGTCATCGTTCGTTTCTTGGCATTTCCATCAACTTTTCGCATATTACATTTTAAGCCGGATATTACAAAATGGCCGCTTGATTGATACTACACAGAATTGTGGTTCCGGTGTTGCCCACCATCACAATGTATATATGTATGTTAATAAAATACGTACTTATAAAAAGATTCAGCATACTCTCAAGATGTTTGTTTACAGTCAGTACCTGAATAATGTGCACACAAGCAAACCAGATATTGACTGATCAAGTGTCGCCTAATATTTGTATAAGCAATTATATATGTAAATGGAATTTTATTATTTTTTTTATTAATTTTTTTTTTTAAATTATTTTTTAAATGGCACTTCACCCAATTGTTATAAAGTGCATTGCATCATCGACTTTGCTTGCTTCTCAGTGTTTAGATATTTTGTTGTTGTTATATATTGACGACTTAGCTTCCACAGCAACGGTCGCTGCCAAATGTAATTATCCAAAAGTTTGTACTAAAAAAAAAACAAATAAATAAAAATAAAATAAAAATATCAAAGGCAGCTTGAAATCGGGTAAAGAAAATTAAAAAATAAAAAAATAAAAGAACCAGCAGCAGCAGAAAGAAGCTGCCGTAGCCGGTTCGCTGTGCGTCAGCCGCAGGCGTCTCTTGGCGGCTTTTGCGGCTTGTTTCTATTTGTCTGGCAGCCGCCAAAAAGTAGAAAATTAAATTTGTTTCAACTGCAGACTTTGCTCAGGTTTGCTGCGCTCTTAACTTGCCGGGGCGCAGCATAAAAAGGCGCCGGAAGCTGATTTTCCACTTGTCAAAAAAAAAGATGGAAAACGGAAAACGGCTGCGTCTGACGGCAACTTTTTTTTTTCATATTTTTTGCGCTTGCTGTCTTCCGTTACTTTGGCTGGTCGCCATTTTACGTTGAATTGAAAGCGTTTGGCGCGCGAATAAATAAAAATAAAGATTGTCAGGCCATTTATAAAGTTTAATGCCAATTTTTGAGCCTACTAATCGCATGGAAATGACTGAGACGTGCTACGGACCCTTAAATCGTCTACCACACAAACAAATGAAATAAAACATGTTTTATTGCCTTGACTCGAATGCGTCAAAAATGTGACAGCGAGAACAATGAAAATTTACTCCCGAAACGTTATGAATAATTTGAGCCGAATGTGTTTTTTTTTTTTTTTTTTTTTTTTGGCCAGCCTCATTGATGGCTGATTAAGTTTAATTTGTCCCATTTCAAAACGCTGAACGATACAAATAAAACGTGACAAATTTAGTAAACAAGCCACGTTAATACCGCCATATGTTTTACGACAGTCAAGTGGGATAAAGTAATCTTGACATGCAAATTATTGAGGCTTGTACATAATACAAAGTGATATGGAGCAGTTGGAGGAGTAAAAACAGTTGTTAATAATACAGTGATCTAATATACAAATAATATATTTGTCAGATACATTTCTTTTTAACTTCATCTAACTGCAAATAGTAGAGAACGATTTGAAAAGCGAGATAACACTAACAGAAATTGAAATAAATATTTTGTGCAATTTATTTTCACTGCACTTGAAATATTCATGCGAATGTCGGAGTCGGAATATATATTGAGTTTATTCATATACACATGTATATCCATTGTTATGAGCCTAAAGTCTCCCGAGGCACACAGGCATACGCACATGTGTGCATATTTAATAGGCCCGACATATAAAACGGAAGCCGTTGAAATGCTGCTGCGTGCCTGAAAATCTTTACATATATATATATACATATATATATAAATACATTTTTTTTTTTTTGGTATTTACCTTCCCAAATATTGCCCAGACTCACGAGGTTCGCTTTCAAGGTTCGCTGCGGCTCCAGAGCTCCTTCAAGCATGATTTTTAAATATTTTATAACAATTTGTGTGAAAAGTAAATAGCAAAAGCTCAAACCTCACAGACCTCTGGAAAATTTCCTGCCTTTCCTAACTGGAGAAAAGCTATTAGCGTTGAATTGTGTGCTGATTGAAATTGAAAGGCAGATGTTTGAAGAGGTTTTTGGCAGAGTTTGAGAACCGCCCGAGTTAAATGATGTGTGCCAAAAGCTCTTGRAACCTTTATGAATACGAAAGTATGCTAAAAAAAAAAAAGTGTGTTTATATTGAAAGAAACGAATTTCCATTGTGCTACAGTTTGATTTATAGCGCTTTATTGACAATGTAAGACTAGCAATTTATAAGAAGGCTTTCAATTAAGTCGAAACTCGCATCCATATATGCTCAGGGAAATGTTTTAACATATAAAGACAGCACTCACTTTTAATTTAACGACTCCCCAAAGTATGCAATACATTTTTTACTTCGTATACCCCTCTTGCAACACCTGTTCTATTGATGCTTTCTGGCAGAGGTTAAAGCAAGCTTTTCCAATGGCTGTCTACCTTCCTCCATCCGTTTCTATATGAGGGTTGGCTGCTTAGCAACTGGCCAAAAATACTTGTTATCGCTTATGTTGTCTCTTACGGTCTGCTGCATTCTCGAACGAACACACACACACATACACAGGCAGACACATGCAAACATACAATTTTTGAGCCCAACGATGCGTTGCGTAACAAAGTTTGCAAAAGGAGGTGGGTGGGGGGGTCTAGGGTTAAGAGTGAGACTGGAAATATGAAATGTGTTTCTAAGTCTCTAGCTGCAATCACTTTCGGTTATTGGCTAATGCTCCTTGGCATGAGTTGGGTTCGATCTCAGGTTTTTCATCTCCACAACTAAATATTTGTAATTTGCCATGATTTTGTTTCATTCGAGATAAGCCCGAAGGTCGCATTTGGGAGAACGGCAGGGAAAGTCCTCAATAAAAATTACCAATATTTACTTTACAAAATGACAGTTCCACTTGAATCTACTTGAGAGAGAGCGTAAGTGGGTGGTGGTGAGGAGGGGCAGGCCTTAAATCCCCTGTCAACTTTGCTACTTAATAAAATATGAGTGCCAAAGTGGAAGATACAAAGAGGCGAGGACTCTGGGACAGCAACAGCAGCAGCAACAACAACAAACAACGTGGCGGACACTGGGCGAGAGAGGGGCTGGCAGGACAGAGACAAGAACAAGGACGTGCCACTAATGGCTGCCAAACTCAAGTGCCGTCGATTCGGCTTGCCAAAGGGATAAAGAAATAAATAGAAAATGCAAATAGATGGCAAGACATTTGCCAAGGAGCTGCGATGCAAACCAGACGACAACTTTTGCCATGTCCTGCGGGACTTAAAGGGGGATGCGAGCAAGGAGCAATGTGTATCTGTGTGATTGTGTGGGTGTGTGTGTGTGTGTGTGGATGAGCCTAGAGTTAACCTCAGCAGCCGTGCTTCGACGCTGCCACTTTTGTCACTCAAGGACATGCGTCAGCCATAAACTGTTGATTTTTATGTGCGCTCGTGCCGCGACAGTAGCCAACAGGATCTTCTATGGACTACGACTCTCCACTCCTCTCGTACATCATTCAGGTGTGCTAGGCATCTAAGAGCTTTTGTCTGGCTTTGTTCGCGCTGCTCTCGGTTGCCCTGTTTGACATGTGTCAAACTTTGTGCGACAGCCAGCCAGCCAGGAGTAGCCAGAGTTCGGTCCAAGGTCGCTGGGCACAGCTTTTGTGGCTGTGGCATTAGACTCGAAATTGTAGCGCTTAGTGCGGGGCCCCCACTTCCGGCCAGATGTTTATAAACCAATTTCAATAGTTTTATGTCCCTTCGTGTGTACGTGTGTGTGTGTGTGTGAATGTGTATGTGTGTGTTAAGCGTGCATTTTACGACCTAATACATATGTATGTATGTACACATATAGAGCACCTGCTGCTGTGCTACAATTTCTTATTCTCGCCCCACATTTCATTATGCTCCCAGTCTGCTCTGTGAATGTGGGTACGTTGCCTTATATCGCATTTCCAGCTGTTGTTACGCCATTGAAGTAATCGATGGTTAGCTATATGACTTGCTATTAAACCAACCCCAATGCCGTTTAATGTTTAATAATTTAGCTGACTCCGCAGTTCAAATGTCTAATTTAAAGTGTTTTTGATAGATTTTATTTACTTTAAGTCTGATAATATAAATTGAATATTTTTATTAATTCAGTTAATTAATTAATTCGTATTTCTCTCCTTCTATTTTAGGTAAGTGACGATGTGCTTTCGCTTGCTTTGAGTCAGAATCAAGTAAGATACTTTTTCATTTTTCATTTGACTATAAGTTTAATTTGTTATTACTTTTGTATATGGGACTTAAAGTTTTTGGCTTTTGTTGATGCTCGTATATCAATGGTCTAACACCTTCGGGGCTTAGCGCTCGCAGCGTTGTCTGGCTTCATAAATCAATCAGAGCGCACAACATCGCGTTTGGCTTCTGTTTGTTTGTGCTGGAGTTGAGTGGCGACGCGGGCTCCCTCAATGTTGGGGGCATCGAATTTATTGTTGTTGTTACTGTTGCCTGCTGCTGGTCCTGTCGAATGTTGCAACAACATTTCCGGCGCAAAGCAGTTAATTTGTCAAATGTCTGCACTTTATCACTATATCGTCAGATGTGGCAACAACAGCCCAGTCATATCCAGGCGCATCCACACTCTCTCCTGGGGCTGCTGCCGGAAAACGCATTACGCACTCAGGCATTTTGGGGCTTGCCTCTGTGAAATTTTGAAGCGATGCGCAATCAGAGCACTGATGCGATTCCCGCAGGAACGAGAAAAGAGTGCATAGAAGAGACCAGACGGGGCTCATCTGCATTGTCAGCTTCCTACACCAGGGACCGAAAGAGACACACCAAAAGAGAGAGCTAGAGAAAGAGAGAGAGAGAGAGAGACAGGAGTTGGGAGTGCTGTTAGAAAAACTCACTGGCAAAGCAATTTAAAGTTGCATCCATAACAGAAGCAACAGCAAACAACGATAACAACAACAACAACAACAACAACAACAACAACAACAGGGAAAATTCAGCCTTTGGCCTGCAGGGAAATCTGTCCGAGCTAATGTTGTCCCGGCTCTGGACCATACCGCCTGCCTGCCAGAGTCAGTACACACACAAACTGAGTCGGAGTCTGCGAGTGAAGCCGCACCCCAAAATCGTAATTAGAAAAGTGCTTGCATGATAACTCACTTTTTGAGTTGTGGCAACCCTGGCTCGCTTTTTTCCCATTGAATATCTCGCCGTTAAGTGGAAAGCGAATGGTCACTCTTTCCCATCAAATTACCCAAATCTATTTACATGGTCACACTAATTGCCAGGATAATCCTGAGAGCCAAGCGCAGCCTGTTGGGAATTAGTCCGGTTGACAATGTTGTCTGCCGTCAATGCATGCAACAAAATATGTTTGCTTGCAGCATTGGCAACATTTTCGGCATGCAAAAAATGTCATCAAAATGCCATTACCAACTGGGGAAAACTGAGTGATCCAATAGATGCCTAAAATGCACAAAAAGTTTCTCATTGGGATTTGCATAAAATAGAAGGCAATCTGTTTGCCCAGGCTCAAATTACGTAAGCCATTAGATTAAAAGGAAAGCCAACTAATAAAACATAAGGTACGGTTATCAAAGAAAATGACATCTAGTAGGGCTTTAAAGTTTCGCATAAAGAAAATTAATATCAAATTCAAAGGGAATTTGTAATGCTTGGTCAATGCCTAAAGACTGAAGGCAATTATGCACACGCATTGGCTGGGCGTCCTTGGCAACCCCTAATATAGACCACATCTCTATTATATGGTCGAACTGGAAATAAACTCATTTCACCACGAAATATGCAACAGCCTGTGCATAATTTCAATGTTGCAACCTTCAATTAAAGCAGACGGGCCGAGGCGTACATGAAATCAACGCCTAATATAAGGTGGTACACCGGCTTGGCCAGGGTTGTCGCCCGTCCGCAACATCGTGCCATACAGTTTGCTGCATTGTTCATGTTGTGTGCATTTTGGCCGCCGTGCGGTCTCTCCATTATGTTCAGCCCCGTTGTAACGAATCGCAGCTACAATGATGACGACACCAACGAACAACAGCAGCGACAACCGACAGCGACAACCCATGCAAAACAACAGGAAGAACCGCGGTCGGTTGGTCAGTGTTGCAAATGGGTTGCATAAGGGGCATTAGGCCCGACTTTGTTAGGGGGATGGAGGCTTCGACTGGTTGGGGCTGTGACGTGACGCCACAACAACGTCATCAACAGACGCAGCTCGAGTCCGACTCGCCAGCAGAACCCTAATGACAACCGCACGTCATCAGCGTTGTCGTCATTTCTGTTGTTGTTGCTGTTGTTGTTGTCACTGTTGCTGCTGCTGCTGTCAACGCCCACATTTGACACGCCCAGACAGCCCAACGTATGCATTATAAACATGCATATTCCTAAAGCGATAGGGACCACAGCTGCACAGTGGGGCGAGGGTAGTTGAAATGATGATAAAAGTGAACTAGCCAGAAGAGCTTGAAACTAATTCAATTATTAATAATTTATATGTTATATGTAGCTAGAAAGTTAATAAAATATTTGTTTTAAGACATTACGAGGTGAACTAACGAAAAAAGGAATGCTTTGATTATCATTAATAGAATTTTAATTTGTATGACAATAAATTGATGTTTCACCACAGTGCCACAGGGTGCTGTGAAAAATTGCAGCTGTAGCCGTCATGCGTCTGTTTTAGCCACGTTTGTGTTGTTGTTAGATGCCCATGTATCATTCGCATGCAAATTTTGTGCAGTATTTTCTTTTAGTTTTCTTGTGGTGCACAATAACAGTCAACAGAAGACCCCAGGGCTGACTCCCTCTATCGCTCTCTCTTTCTACACTCTACCTCTTTTGCTCCGGCAGAAGGCAGCTCTCGCTCTCTGTTTCCACCTATGCGTTATGTCTGGCATATCCAGCTGCCTTCATTTGCATTATCGCATCTAACGATTGTCATCATTAAACAATGTCGCTCGTTAGTTTAGCAATGCGTCGAAAATTTAACGGATTTCGGTGGCTCATTTGTAAGCCAAACAATTGGAGCGAGCGATGCGAGCATAGGTTGCTCTCTCATTTCCATTGTCACCCCGAATCTCCGCCCATCGAGCTATAGCAATAGTCCCAGAATTTGCACATTTTCGAAATGCATGGTATATAGGTGTGTCATGTGTGCAACTGTGTGTGTGTGTGTGTATTGTCATTAGATGAAATTTCATTTTTGGCTTGGTCTATTTTAATTTGTTGGCAATTGGCATGCAAATGCTGGCTATAAAAACAACAGCAACAACAACAACAACAGCAACAGCCATGAAATTTGCAATTAAAATACATTTCGCAAATTTGTTGCTGTTTTTTCTGCAGCCTTAGAAATCGGATGCGTTTGTGCGTGTATGTATGTGTGTGTGTGCGTGTGTGTCCTCTTATTTTAACGACTAATTTGCGCCATTTGTCAGCGCATTTAATTTGTGTACCCAAAAAGACATTTGCTGCATTTAATAAATGTTAAAGGTTTCTTTAATGTAACCTATTAATAGCATACATCTGAGGGCTGCAATTAATTTAAAAAAGTCGGCAAATCGTAAAAACTGGCCAAATATAATATAATTAATATTTGTAGTCCCTCCAAGGCTCTTGAAAAATTACAATTTAACAGAATGAATAAAAATAATAAAAAATAATAAATAAATATGATATATATTTAACTAAATAAATACCTAAGCAGCTTTAAGAATTTTGTAAAAGAAAAGTAAAGTCCTTTGGCCTAATGTCAATCTAATTAACTGGCAGCCAAAATTCCAAAAGAAAATTATGAAATTTTTAGAGCACGCGGCTAACAACTAAAAGAATTTCATAACAATAAAAAAGAAATACGACGACATGAGTAAAGACCAAAGCCCAGAGTGAAACTTGAAAGGGGAAGGAGAAATGCAAGCCGCAGGATTTCAGGGCAAATGTAAAGCCACTTAATTAGCGCAATGCAACGACAACAACAGCAGAAACAGCAAAAACAACACGCTGCATAATAACAACAATAACACGGAACACATGGGTTTAATGCACATTAAGACCAGGGACTTGCCGCAAAACAAGAGGAAGAAGAAGAAGCGGAAGAAGAAGCGAGAGCCAACCTCGGTCGCAAATATTTGTTGGTAATGCGAGCAAAGCAGAGAGCAAATGTGGGTCAACTATGTGGTTCATTGTAAGAAATAAGGCAGAATCCGGAAAAAGAGTATGTGCGGTGTGCGGTGTATGTGTGTGTGTGTGTTCAAGGGGTGCCTTAAGGGGCAAGAGCAAACTTGCAATCACATGTGCAGTTTTTCCTCTATTTTTTTCGTTTTTTTTTTTTTTGTGGCTCGTTTCGCATTTTGGTTTAAATTTCATTTGCATTTTTTTATAGCACAGCTAAATGGGCAGCTGCTTAGTATGTGCATGTGTGTGTATGTGTGTGTGTGTGTGTGTGTGTGTGCTTGGGCTGTTAATTTATTCCTTCCCTTTTACTTGCTTTAATTGTGCATAAATATTTTGCCATTGCGCGTTGCATGTAAATTAGGCGGCAGCCAAAATAAAGCTTAGCCGTAACTTTATGTGTGTGTGAGGGTTCGAGTGCATGCGTGTGTGCGTGCATTTGCGTGCCAGAAATGTTAATGACGTGATATGACTGAGATTTGCATTTTTTATATTTTGCCAAACTAAAATAGATAGCAACCGTCTTATTAAAATTTTAATTGAAAATTTCACAATCTATCGTACTCAATAAATATTTATATAAATAAAGAACGCTTTGCAAATTTTATGAAAATCCTAGTTGGTCAACGGCAGCACAAAAAATAAATTATGCTAAATTAAATTAATAATGGAACAGAACGTGATCAGACGCGCGCAAACAGTTTAGTGACAATATTTACAATCGATATATAATTTGTATTTTTTCTATGCATCTACTTTATCCATATTATAGTAAATCTTATCGGCCAGAATCAATTTGTTGTCATATGCAATTAGCAGCGCAACCGCAGCAATTGGCGCTTATCGCTGTTTGACCTGAGGTGATGCTGCACTCGCATTTGAATATAAACAAAGGCAACAGCCCAAACCCCACCGCAGCAGCTGCCATTCGGGGCGTTTTTCAGCTTTTAAATTGCAATTAGATTACATTTTACATTAGCGCGCCATTTGCGAGCATTTTCATTGATATTTAATTAGCATAAACGCATTTGCG